GAGCGCACATTCTGCGCTGCTGACAGGACAGGATAGGACACAGTGCTGGCTCTTGCAGCAAGATGGCAGGGAGAGGGTGGACCCCAGATGGCAGTCTTCTTCTCATGACTATGGCGTCTAAGCAGGCTGTTGGAGGAACTCCTCTAGCGTGGGATCCTTTGGATTTGTTTCATTTCTGTGCTGTACAGTGAGTCTGTTAAAAACAACAACAGCAGCAGAGTCAGGAAGTTGCAAGCAAAACATGCATGTCCAAAAGGAAACACATTGACCCCGAAAAACAATCCTGATATGCTTTTCTAAATGAAATCAGCTCTGAACCCAAACCCCGAATCTCTCTGTTGCTTTGAACTCAAGCTACTGCATCAATTTTTTGTTTGTTTGTTTGCTTCCGGGAGGTTTAACCACCAAGTCCTCAGGTCATTTCGTGGGCTGACATTCACTCTGTTCCCTCAGTGTCAAATGTGATTGAGGAGTTCTGGAGAATGTAATTAATTTAATATTTTCCTAAAGTACTTAGAGAGTTTACGTTGCTCCCAGGAGCATTTATGCTGAGTGCATATGTTGGAAATGATTGATCAGGGAACTGCTTCCCCCACACGCCCTGACCGGCTGCCTTCCAGATTGGCTAAGCGCATGTTGTATCAGCTGAGGAAGGGCTGTGAATTAGCTCTTCATCTAACTTTGTTATGGAGCTGCAGTAGCTCAAGTGGTTAAGACGCTAAACTGCAGGCTGTGGAAGGTCAGTAGTTCAGCAGTTCGAGACCCGGGTTGCTGCATGACGGAGTGAGCTCCCGTCTCTAGTTCCAGCTACTGCCAACCTAGCAGTTCGAAAGCAAGAAATTGCAAGTAGATAAATAGGTACCGCTTCGGTGGGAAGGTAACAGCATTCCGTGTGCCTTGGTGTTTAGTCATGCCGGCCACATGACCACGGAAATGTCTTCGGACAGCGCTGGCTCTTCGGCTTTGAAACCGAGATGAGCACCGCAACCCTAGAGTCGGATTCGACTGGCTTTCGAGCAAGGGAACCTTTACTTTTACCTACCTCTGTTAAATATGAACACCGGTACTCTATGACGGTGTGTGTGTGTCTGATCTGTACCTGTGTCATACAGAGCTTTCTAAGCTAAATCCTTTCCCTTGTACGCAGCGTTCAGTAAGAAAAAGAGGCATCAGGATTCTTGCAATCCACAGTAGGACAAAGCTGGCTAGAGCTCCAGTCTCCCTGCCTAAGATTTTCACTGTCGCCACAACACCTGTCACTTTTTTCTGGCTGTGGAAGCAGATCAGTCTCTGTAGTTAGTACTCACCAGACTCCAGGATATGTTATTCAATCCTAAAAACACCCTTCCCGGACGGAAACATTTCTGTGGACTTGTAGGTCGTCTGCTCCGTTTCAGATGAACAGATCAAAGACAGGTGGGCAGACCAGAGAGAGCCAGCGTGGTGTAGTGGTTAAGAGCGGCAGATTCTAATCTGGTGAACGGGGTTTGATTCCCTGCTCCTCCACATGAAGCCTGCTGGGTGGCCTTGGGCCAGTCACAGTTCTCTCAAAACTCTCTCAGCCCCACCTGCTGACCATTGTTCCCTCTAAGCTGAGTTAGTGTGAGCTAGCTCACAGCTTTTTAGCTTCTGGCTCACACATTTTTGTCTTAGCGCAGGAAGGAGGGCTCCAGAGCAAGCTAATGCATGCAGTAGTCAAATCACTCGCTCACAACTTTTATACCAGTCGCTCACAAAGTAGAGTTTTTGCTCACAAGACTCCACAGCTTAGAGGGAACATTGCTGCTGACCCGTAGCTAGTGGGGCATCTCGGGGCCCGCCCCCCTGACTTACCGCCAAGCCCCCCCGACTTCCCATCCAGCCCAGGCACTCCCTTGGGGTGTGTGTGCAGGGTGCCCCCTGACTTACTTAAAGGCCCCCTGAATTTAAAAAAATCCTGGTTACGGGCCTGGCCACCTGCCTCACAAGGTGACTCTTCTGGGGAGAGGAAGGGAAGGTGATCGTAAGCCGCTTTGAGACTTCTTAAGGTAGAGGAAAGCGGGGTATAAAAGCCAACTCTTCTTCTTCTACCTCTCGCCAAGAAGTTCGTTCCTCAGAGACCAGTTGCTGAAGGGCATATAATTTAAAGTCCTCTGTCCTTGGGGCCACTTTACTAGAGACCTTCCCTGCCCCTCCCTGCCCACCACTGGTGTCCTGGCTCTTCTTAGCACTCTTTGCCCCCAGTCCTGGGATGGTGGTCAAGATCTCAAAGATTCTAGACATCAGCACCTGAGGTTCTATCCGTAGGACAACTGTCACTTTGCACCAGTCCCATCATTGGCACCCACCCCTCTCTGTCATGAAATGATACCCCAGCCCAACAAAGCACAGAGAACCTTTTCTGTGACACCAGGACCTGTGCACGGAGATGTGAAGGCCGGGGGGGGGGGGAGGGGGCGGGGGGGGGGGGGGGGGGACGGACACGGACGACCCTAGAAAAATCCAGAAAAACTTTCCCCCCAGTTTTTTTCTGACAGAAAACTTGGGGAATTCAGGGAAGTAATAATAATAAAAAAACCTCCTATGAAATATTTTCTCTTTTAGAATGAGTGAAATGCTTCTTCAGGGAAGGTTTATCTCACCCTCAGGGGCAGGACATCTTAACATGGCTGATTTCCACAGATTAGACAGGGTGGCAGACAGTGTTCCCTCTAAGCTGTGGAGTCTTGTGAGCAAAAATTCTACTTTGTGAGCTACTGGCATCAAAGTTGTGAGCGAGCAATTTGGCCGCTGCATAGATTAGTCTGCTCTGGAGCCATCCTTCCTGAGCTAAGACAAAAATGTGTGAGCAGGAGGCTAAAGAACTGTGAGCTTGCTCACACTAACTCAGCTTAGAGGGAACACTGGTGGCAGAACTTAGAATTTGTTTTTTCTACTGGTGGGAGGGGTCACCTGCATTTTGTTTCCTGTCTAGAAAAGGAGCACATACTTATTTAGGAGCTCTCTATACTAGATCTCTCTTGACCTTCTTTTGCTTCCTGTACCTCTCCTTGGAGCCAGTTTGGTGTAGTGGTTAGGAGCATGGACTCTAATCTGGGAGAACCGAGTTTGATCCCCCACTCCTGTACATGCAGCTGCTAGTGTGACCTTGGGTCAGTCATAAGTTCTTTCAGAGCTGTTCTCTCAAGGGCGTTTCTCGAGAGAGCTCTCTCAGCCCCACCTACCTCAGAGGCAATGCTCCCTCTAAGCTATGGAGTCTTGTGACCAAAAATTCTACTTTGTGAGCTACTAGTGTTAAAGTTGTGAGTGAGTGATTTGTCTGCCACATTAATTAGTTTGCTCTGGAGGCATCCTTCCTGAACTAAGACAAAAATGTCTGAGCCGGAGGCTAAAAAACTGTGAGATTTTGGGGAATATCAGGGGAAAAACCTGCTGTGTTTTGGTCCCTTTTGGAATGAGTGAAATGAAAAATGAGATTCTACTCATATTACAAAATTTTACTGATCTCCGTTTCTACTCTACTCATGTTTGACAAAGGGAGCTTTGACTCTCTAAAGCCTCTACGCTGAAACTATTCGCTGGTCACTAAGATGCTCTTGGACGTGGATCTAAAACATTTACCCTGAAACTATTCGCTGGTCACTAAGATGCTCTTGGACGTGAATCTAAAACATTTTGCTCAAAATGTGTCGTATAAAAAAGTCGTGTAAGACAACCTTCATCACTGGATAATGATGATAATTCGTATGTATACTCTAGGCATCTACAACATGTTGAATTTTTTGTTTAAATGTAAATAAGTTTGGCAACAAGTATTATTCTATAATAGTAATAATGTCTTTAATAATGTATTTGCTGGCTAGAAATTTAAGCAACAAAAAGAGCCAACTCTTCCAGCTTCCCTCTTTGGTTGTATGGCTCTTATTCACTGCAGGCATCAGGACAGAAGAAGAGCCCAGCTGGATCAGACCAGTGGTCCATCCAGTCCACCATCCTGTCTCACACAGTGGCCAACCAGCTCCTCTGGAGGGCCAACAACAGGGCACAGAGGCCGAGGCCTTCCCCCGATAAGAACACCTGAAGGGCCCTGCTGGATCAGACCAGCGGTCCATCCAGTCCACCATCCTGTCTCACACAGCTCCTCTGGAGGGCTAACAACAGGGCATAGAGGCTGAGGCCTTCCCCTGATATTGCCACCTGGCTCTGGGATTCAGAAGCTTAGTGCCTTTGAATGAGGAGGTTCCCCTAAGTCAACATGGCTAGCAGGCACTGACAGACCTATCCTCCATGAATCTATCCAGTTCCTCCCAAATGCTGTCCGTTCCTGAGGCCATCACTGGGTTCTCTGGCAGTGAATCCCTTTGTCTGGCACCCAACCCTTTGTCTGTTTATATGCTTACCTTATTAGGCCTTCCCCTGATATTGCCACCTGGCTCTGGGATTCAGAAGCTTAGTGCCTTTGAATGAGGAGGTTCCCCTAAGTCAACATGGCTAGCAGGCACTGACAGACCTATCCTCCATGAATCTATCCAATTCCTCCCAAATGCTGTCCTTTCCTGAGGCCATCATTGGGTTCTTTGGCAGTGAATTCCTTTGTCTGTTTATATGCTTACCTTATTGTCTTGACTTTCTTTGAGATGCTGGATTTTTATATATTTTCTGAGTACAAAGAATCTAGGAATTCTTTTTTAATAAACTAAACTAGAATTTATGTTGAGAAGCAGTGTTTTCTTGGTGGGGGGGGGGAGAGATTGGGAATGGAAGTTACTGAAACCCGAAGAGGCATTTGCCCAATTGGGGTGAGCAATTTTCAGAAAGAAAACAGGTAAGAAGAAAGTGGGTTTAATAGTTCTGTCTCCATTTCCCAGTGCTGGGTGCCTTTTAAAAATTGCAGCGACGGCTATAAAATATGAAAAGCTGATATATAACACCTCCCCCCAGACCTGTACATCAAGTGTAGTGCCCCCTGCCACAAGCCGGCCGTCACAATTTGTTGCTTTTTGTGTTCTTCTGTCACGCAGCTGAGAAAGTAACTTCCTTGGGGAAAGACTGGCACAAGTTCTGCTTGAAATGTGAGCGCTGCAGTAAGACACTGACGCCTGGTGGACATGCTGAGGTAAGGCTGGGTTGCCGACTGCTGTGCCTGGGAGTGTAAACCTCTGAGGGAGAAACTAGTAGGGCAAATCACTTCTCAGACCCTGCCCGCCATTCCTGGGCTGTTTAATCTTGAAACATCGGGCATGGGTGTGGTATTACTGGCACTGTAGGGAGACTGAACTCTGCTGTATAACACAAATGGGAAGAAGCCTGCTGAGGGCATGACTTCCTGTACACCAGGCCTTTGAGAATTTCTCAAATCTTAAGGCGAGTTTCCAGATTTGCTTTTCACGTTCACGCCTGCTTCCCCACCGCTACATGAGAAAAGGGACGCTGTGCACGGCCCTTTGTGTTCAATTGGTTAAAAAGTTGGGCAAACCCAGTCAGGTGAGGGTCGTGCCTGCAAGTTGCCACTGGCCAGGGATATTCTGGTTACGTGCCTTCTTCCTTTTGTTTTTTTGGGGGGGTGATGTTCTTTTGCATATTGGTGGAAGACTTTTTATTATCTGGGAAGGTCCTTCTCCCTGGCTGCCTTGGACAACGTATGTGGGAAGATGGACTAGCAAGATATTTATGCTGTAAGTTTAGCTGGTCCTGTTGAACACTAATGTGCCCCACACAAAAGAGACTTAGAAGCACAGAGTTCGAAGGGGCCATACAGGACATCTGATCCAATCCCCTGCTCGGTACAGGATCAGCCTAAAGCATCCCTGACAAGTGTTCATCCAGCCACTGCTTGAAGACTGCCAGCAGCTGGTTCTACTGCTGAACTACTCTTAGTGGAAAACAATTTTTCCTAATATCCAGTCAGTACCTTTCCGCCCATAATTAAACCCATTATTGCGAGTCCTCTCCTCTGCTGCCGATAGAAACAGCTCCCTGCCCTCCTCTAAGGGACAGCCCTTCAGATAAAGAGAGCAATCATGTTCCCCCCACATCCCCTCCCCCACTTCTTCTCCAGACGGAACGTTCCCAAGTCCCTCAGCCTTTCCTCGTAGGGCTTGGTCTCCAGGCCCCTGATCATCCTCATCACTCTCTCCTGCTCCTTCTCCATTCTGTCCACATCCTTTTTGAAGTGAAGCCTCCCCAGGAATAAAAAAAATGATTAGAGGCTACCAGTGAGGCCCAGAGAAGGCCCTTTCTGTTTGTGCTGCAGGGCAGCATTGGGTGTACCTTAGCGGTCAGGGACCCACATACCTTTGGGGCCGCCACTCTCAGTGTATCCCAAGAAGAGCATTGTGCTCAGGAAGTAAGAACCTTCTGGCGATCCCCGGCCCGAGAGAGATCCGGCTGTCCTCAACCAGGGCCAGGACTTTTTCGGCCCTGGCCCCCGCCTGCTGGAGAACATCCATGCCCTCCGGGACTTGTTACCTTTCCGCAGGGCACGCAAGGCAGAGATGTTCGTGACGGCACGGTATGTAGTCTGGCTCTCTCACACCTTCCATTCTCCGCAGCCCTCCCCCCTCGGGAGGCCTGTGAAACTTGAACTTCCCCCCCACCATCTTGGATCGACGAAATTATTCTGATGAATTATTGGTGCTATGTGGTTTTTTAACTTTCAATTACCTACTGTATGTCCTCTTCTGCTGTAAGCCTCCCTGAGCCTTGCTTGCAAGGAAGGGTGGCCTAAAAACTCAATTAATTAATTAATTAACCTCGATTAATGTTTATGGCAAGTGAGTGTTGGCATGAGTGAGTAAAGCTGAGAAGGAGTCCACTGGCTTTGCTGATGACTGTGCAGCCCTCATGGGAAATGGAAGGAGATTTTATTGGGGGTGGTGGTGGCCGCCTGGCTGATTTGCCCTCTCTAACGCACATGGAATGCTGAGGTGGCTTTTGCAATGATCGTGCAGCCCTCATGGGAAATGGAAGGAAATTTTATTGGGGGGGGGGGTGGCTGCCTGGCTGATTTGCCGTCTCTAATGCACATGGAATGCTGAGGTGGCTTTTGCAACCAGTTGCTTGAAGTGCACTGAATTTTCTTCATCCTGACACAATTGCGATTTCTCTCCTTGTAGCATGATGGGAAACCCTACTGCCACAAGCCTTGTTACGCAACATTGTTTGGACCAAAAGGTAATTTTCTTTTCTTTTCTGGGCTGTTTCACCTTCAGGCACAAATGCGGCAGAACATCTTTCTATCTGTCATGCACAATCTGCCTCTGTCAGTGCTTGATGTTGAGTTTAGTTGTTTTAAAGCTAGCTGGAGACATCTACTACTGCTGCTGCTGCTGCTACTCCTCCCCTCCTCCTTCTCTACTACTACAACTTCTGGAAAAAAACCTGATTTTTAACATACATCATACAGAAAACAAAAAAAAGATACAATCAATAATAAAGATTAAGTTTAAAAAAAAATACTCAGAAATTGTAACTCTTAGATCCAACAATCGTAAAAGTTTCCAGCTTTTAAAAAGATGGTTTTAAAATGTGTTAATTTTGCCATACTTGGTGGATCTTTATTTAGCACTCATCCAGCTATTATTGTTTTTTGCTGCTATAAAGACCATACTTCTGTGAAGTGCAGGAATGTGATTTTCTAAAAGGTCTAACAAAATAACCTTTGGACCTTCAGGAATTCAAAATTGAATATCCAGTTCATTGATTCCAAATGTTTTAGCTGGACAAGCACCAAATGTATCTATAATCAGTAGCTTCTATTCTGCATCCCCCTCAAATATTATTTATTAGAACAAGATCATGTTCAATTTATCTGGAGTTAAATACCAGTGATATAATAATTTATAAACATTTTGTTTCATGTTTGTCCCAGTTGGCTTAGTGGAACTAGAACTTCATCAGTTATTGAACAGTTTAAAATTTTCACCCAAGAGGACATAAAATTAGTCCGAAATGTTTTCCTGAATTAGTCATGCACATGTACTTTCTCCCCTTTTTATTATATAATAATCTTTCAAACTCTTTCAAAACAGTACAAAGGAAATAAAGAGGGTGGGTTTTTTTGTGTTTATGTAGCTGGGGAATTGTAGCTATACTTTACTTGGACATTCTGCTCAGTTAGTTCTGGATAGGAAATACATTGTCTATTCATCATATCAACTAGTACAATGATTTAATAATCTAGGTATTCCAAAGTTTAGCAATAGAAAATTCAGCAACAGTTGGCAAGATCTGAGGCTTGGAGCTGTTTAGATATTCTCTGCACATGGCCAGTAACTGGCAAAGCTCTTGGGTAGTCAAGAATAACATGCACAGGTCACTTCCAAGGGGAACCTGAGAATGCTCCAGTGCTCCCTCTAAGCTGTGGAGTCTTGTGAGCAAAAATTCCACTTTGTGAGCCACTGGCTTTAAAGCTGTGAGCAAGCGATTTGACTAATGCATGAATTAGTTTGCTCTGGAGCCATCCTCCCTGAGCTACGACAAAAATGTGTGAGCCGGAGGCTAAGAAACTGTGAGCTAGCTCACACTAGATCAGCTTAAAGGAAACACTGCTTAGGACATTGTTCCTACCTTGCCCTTTATTGAGGGATGGCTTACGCTGGCAGCCCATGCAGCAATTGAGTGACTAGCAGAGATGGCATGGTTTTCTTAGCTGGCAGGAGCTGGGACTTGTAGCAGCACTTATCAGCTCAAGTGCAAATGTGCTGTGCACAATGTTCCCTGTGCACAGCCTAGAGATAACTCCTCCTGATCAGATAGTTCTGTCCTTGCTTTGTATACCTTGCCAGCTCATGAAGTTCTGTGGTTGGGATGTTACCTACTTTTGGCAGAACTGGTTGTGACATTTTTATTTGTTTAAAGGAATGGGGTGTGTATGTGTGTGTGTAATTTGAAGAGAGAAACTCTGTGTGTGTGCGAGAGAGAAAAGGAAAGAGATAGCAAGCACCCTTTACCTTTAGTTGTATCTGTTTTCACTACGGTGACCCACATGTTCAAAATGACTCGGTATGGTGACCCATCCTTTGGTGCCCTAGGTAGACCTCGGCACACATCTAGTCCAGCATTCCATTTTCTACAGAGGCTAGCCAGATGTTTCTGAGAAACCAGCAAACATCTCACAAAATACGCCGCTGCCTCCACTATGAACTCCAAGCAAGTGGCATTCTAACATACACACAACCGTTGCGTATGGAAATTACAGTCCAGCCTTTGACCACCCCCTCGTTCTGCATTGCTCCCTCTAATCCCCCAAAGATTCTAAGAAACTCACTCTAATAACCATGAAGAAACATTTTACTTGATCAACATGTATATAAATGTTGTATATAAACTCGAATGATAAAAGAGAGAGTCCGGGAGTAGGCAGGGTAGGAGCTTTTGTGAGTTACTGCCCACTTCTTCAGGTCTGAAGAAGTGAAGCAGTGACTCACGAGAGCTCGTACCCTGCCACAAATTTTGTTGGTCTTGAAGATGCTCCCGGACTCTGACTCTTTTCTACTGTTACAGACAGACAGACATCTTGATCTAAAACAGATTCTAACACATCTTACCTTAATGCTAACTCGCTGCAATATAAGATTACAATGATCTCACCAATTTCCATGAGCAGTGTAACAATAGAACGAGTTTGCCAGTTTTCGTCTAATTGGAATAGTCATGCTGCGAGCAGGGATTATGTCAGCATTCTTTAGACTCGCTCAAAAGAGGAGGTAGAGGATAACCTGAAAACAGGTAAGAGAGAGAGAGAGATGCCACAGAGACTCTCTCTCTCTCTCTCTCTCTTTGGAGCCTCACTCCTGCTTTACTAGTCCTCTTAAAATATCCTTCCCACTTGTACCATTGGCACTTGTACACCCACTTGTACAAAAAACCTCAGCACAATAAAAAAACACACATATGGGTCAACTCTTATACAATGGTTTTAATCCTGGTTCCGCACCAAAGTCATTATTGGGGTGTCCAAGATACTCAGGATCATGTTGTGAGCCATTGAGCATTAGAATCCATTAGATGATCATTGATATGCAGATGATACCACTCTAATGGCAGAAAGTGAAGAGGACCTTAAGAGCCTCTTGCTCAGGGTAAAAGAGGAGAGCGCAAAAGTGGGCTTGAAGCTCAACATCAAAAAAACTAAGATCATGGCATCTGGCCCCATTACTCCTTGGCAAATAGAAGGGGAAGTCATGGAAGTAGTGACAGACTTCATGTTCCTGGGATCCCAAATCACCGCAGGCTGTGACAGCAGCCATGAAAGACGCCTGCTCCTTGGGAGGAAAGCGATGGCGAACCTAAACAGCATGATAAAAAGCAGAGACATCACCCTGCCAACAAAAGTCCGCATGGTCAAAGCAATGGTATTCCCAGTAGTCATGTATCGCTGTGAGAGTTGGACTATAAGGAAGGCCGAGCGCCGAAGAATACATTCTTTTGAACTATGGTGCTGGAGAAGACTCTTGAGAGTCCCTTGGAGTGCAAGAAGATCAAATTAGTCAATCCTAAAAGAAATCAACCCTGACTGTTCCCTGGAAGGCCAGATAATGAAACTGAAGCTCAAATACTTTGGCCACCCAATGAGAAGGGAGCACTCACTGGAGAAGACCCTGATGCTGGAAAAGATGGAAGGTCGAAGAAGAAGGGGACGGCAAAGGATGAGATGGTTAGACAGTGTCATAGATGCAACGAACATGAAATTGAGCCAACTTCAGAGAACAGCGGAAAACAGGAAGGCCTGGCGTGATCTGGTCCATGGGGTTGCGAAGAGTCGGACTCGACTGTGCGACTGAACAACAACAACAAAAGCAGAACTTCTGGGTTTGCCAATGATACTTGACATTAAATTAGGCAGAAAACATGCAAATAACATGTGAGACACCTGTCAGACCGTCTGCTTATCCTGAGCACTGGGTCAGGATAACACGACGCCATGTTCCATGGACCATCCGTGAACACCAGCCAGGCAAAGAGGGTCTGCACATCAGTTCTTACCAGTAAAACACAAAGCCAGTCGATTCTCTTAAAAACATGGTACAGGCGGCTGTGTTAAAAGTCATCCGAGCTAATCTGAAACTCATCTGAACGCACTGAGAATGAAGAAAAGAGATCAGCTACACAAAAAATTCCCATAGATTCCCAAAAGTTCTCCCCAAAGATTCCAGGCTAAGTTACCCCAACACTTCTCCATCTCACATTATATCTTCTATCTGGTTATTTTCATTCTTATCCCGTCCCTTCCAGTGTTCCCTCTAAGCTGAGTTAGTGTGAGCTAGCTCATATTTTTTTAGCCTCTGGCTCACACGTTTTTGTCTCAGCTCAGGAAGGAGGGCTCCAGGGCAAACTAGTTTATGCAGTAGCCAAATCTCTCACTCACAACTTTAATGCCGGTAGCTCACAAAGTAGAATTTTTGCTCATGAGACTCCACGGCTTAGAGGGAACATTGGACTTCTGCTTTGCATGGATCATAACCCAATTTCATACAAGTGAGTCACAACAGAACAAATTTAGAGTCCAGTGGCACCTTTAAGACCAACAAAGGTTTATTGAAAATATTTGGAAAAGTGTGCCTTGCACACGAAATCTCATACCTTGAATAAACCTTTGTGAGTCTTAAAGTTGCTCCTGGACTCTAAATGTGTTCTTCTGCTTCGGACCAACAGGGCTGCCCACCTGGAGCTATCTTCATGGAAGCGATTTACAATGTTACCAGATCAAGAAGTATTAGAAGTACAAACTTAATTAATGGGTTTTTTTAATTGATGAAAGACTCTTCATTGAACAGGTAACTGTGATTATTGATTATTTGGCAGGCAGAGTAAACCAAACTCAAACCATTTTTCCTCCCTCCCATCCAAATTTGGCAGTTCTTACACTTGGGCTCCTTCCAAGCAGTTGTCTCAATAACATGTTACTTGGACTTGTTTTTTTCTCCAGCTTCTGGTTGTGTTCCCAGAACATCTGGAATTTCCCTTCATTAATATCCCCGGTCATTGTTCCCAGTATTGCGCTTCTTTCCTAGAATGGATAGGACTGGACCAGGGATTGCCAGCTCCAGGTTGGGAAGTACCTGGAGATTTTGGGGGTAGAGCCTGGAGAGCGTGCGGTTTGGGAAGGGGAAGGTCCTCAACAAGGTATAATGCCACAGAGTCCGCCTTCCGAAGCAGCCATTTTCTCCAGGGGAACCAATCTTGGTCATCTGGAGAGCAATTATAACAGCATGTCAGCTAGCTGCCATAGGAGACTGGGAGGCAGTTAGTTCCCCCCCCCTTCTCCCCTGGCATCTGCGCATGCCCTATCTTCCCCTGTGTATGATCTTGTCTCATGCATTCCTGTCTGTAAACGCTAGGCAACGCTTATCTGCAAGGTTAACAGGTGTGTGGGGGAGCCGCTTTGCCAAATGTATAATGAACTGCACTGTCTGAAGCTGTAATTGTTTAGGTTTTAAGGAACGTTGCTTCTCAGGCTTTTGAGCGCGTAACCTGGAGTCTGCCCGCTCGGCGGGAATGGAGATTATTGGTTATTACCCTGTTTGAATGTCTTACATTATTCCTTGCCCACCCTGGCCCAGGCATTCTGGACAGTGACCTTGTTCCTGCTCTATCATAGCTTTAATAAAATACTACTTTGCCTAAACGTGTATTGGATTAATAGCTGTGGGGGACCGGACACAGCGGAAGATCTCCAGGTGCCGCCTGGAGGTTGTCAACCCTCGATCGGACACACTTCTGATGACAGCCAGCCAGCCGCTGTTATCAGGTCCTACAGCTCGCACACCAGTGTTTCAGGTTTTAAATCCAGACGCTTCAGGATCTAACATGGGCTCAGCTCAGGATGGGAGGGAGAGAAGCTGGCATGATGGGGCTGCGTGGGGGGAAATGGTCTCACAGGCCCCACTTCAGGCCATATGGGAGTGAGAAAGCCACTCTGCCATCCCGGTTCCCCAAACTGGCCCGGCTCCCCTACTTTCCCACTCGCTCCCTTTGGTCCCACTGCCACCACGGCCCACGAATGAAGAGGATCCTCCCTGGGGGCGTCTGACCCCCAGATTCCGCTGTAGTCAAAGGATCGGCCTCATTTCCGCATCTCCTGCTTTGCTGTTGCCAGCTGTTGCAGGGACCAGCCCCTCCCCTTGTGCAGTCTGGGGATGAGGGGTTTCCCCGCTGCCCCCTCTCTGTACGGCTCCTTAATCAGCGTGACTGACTGGGCGAATTGTGGGTTCAGAGATCACACCAGCATTCAAAATATAAAGAAGTGTTGTCATCTGCAGACAAAATGATACAAAAAGTATATTATTTCTTATTAAACAAGGAAATGTATGCGGAAATAATAAAACCATGTATGAGGGCGTGGATGAAGGATTTGGGAGCTAACATAAGTGTAGAGAAATGGACTAAAATGTGGAGTTCAATAAAATTATTAAGAGCTACATCCTATAAAGAAAACATTTTTAAAATGTTTTTTACAGGTGGCATTGGACTCCAGACAAGGTAGCAAAATGTTATAAAAACGTGTCAGGAAATTGCTGGAGGTGTAAAAGGAATATTGGTTCATATTATCATATATGGTGGAAGTGTGTGAAGCTAGTAAAATTTTGGAAAACTATAAAACAACTAATTGTAGAGATAGTGGGAATAGATCTCTCGTTAGACCCAGAAATATACTTGTTGAATATGTTACCAGAAGGGATAAAATATAATGAGTCATGTTTGATACTATATATTCTTACCATGTCTAGAATTCTCATAGCCAAATGTTGGAAATCAGATAAAATACCAAGTAGAGAAGAATTAATAACAAAAATTATAGAAATAAAAGAAATGGACAAAGTAAATATGATTTTGTCGGGAAAGGATGAATATGTGTTTAAAAAAAGATGGCAGAAAGTAGATAGTTAGTTGAAAAAAATGGATAAAGGAACTCCAAAATATGATGTAAATGAATATATTTTTGTGTTATTGTTTGTTATGGAAAAAAGCTAAATAAACTATTAAAAAAAGGAAGTGTAACGAGATTATAATGTGTACGCGGGGTCTATGTACAGCTGACAAGAATCAAATGAAAAGTGAGAAAGATGCAATCCTGTAACCCTCTGAAAGATGGCTACAGTAAGGACAGGTTATTTATTATTGAAGTTGACGTTTCAGAAATGATCTATCATCTTGGTTTCTTAGGGTGTGGTCACACTGGTAGCTTGGTGCGATATGGTGCCGCCTCTAATCGTACCGGTTTAAAATGTTGTGGGGATATCATCCAGACAGCACACCCTGCTGTGGGTTACCCACACAGTCATCCCATGGTCAAGCATCCACATTACTGCAGCGCCTCAGCCACAGAGCGCGCTGCCCGGTTGTTTGTTTAAAAATGCAGGTGGGTGCATATAGGCAACACCCCCACCCCCCCAGCGGCAGAAACGGATCTACAGGTTCAGACCACCAATCCATTCCCCATGCATCCCCTCACTTTCAGACATCCGGCCACATGCAATGAATGCACGAGGAACCGAAAACACCACTTGCGATGTGGTTCCTTTTTAACCTGGCTCCAAGTTGTCGGATGATCAGGGGCAGATTAAGGCTCACCGGTGCCCTAAGCACTGACCAATCTTGGTGCCCCCCTCCTTTCCACACTGACCCCCAGTCCATTTGAGTTGTTGACCTGTCTGACCAGATATACAATGCAGGTTGCAGCAATACAAACATTTATTCATATGATAACACAATATACTGCACAAACTAAGCTTTTTCACCCTTTTCCCAACTTTGTGGTGCCCCCTTTGGCCCTGGTGCCCTTAGCACCTGCTTAGTCCGCTTAATGGTTAATCTGCCCCTGCCTACGATGGAGTGAGGATGCTTGGGAACGCTTTACTAATGTGGCAGTATGACTGCGCACGTTTGATCCGGAGGGGAGGGGTGGCTCTGTCGGGCCAAACTGCTTGTATAATCACACCCATAGTTGGGGTTTCTCCCCTTTTTTCAGCAACACGTCATGGCTGCCATTGCAACGGAGCTCCAGCCTTATTCCCTTATTCAGTTAAATAGTTTATTGTATATAGCCATAAAAAGGTAAAGATAAAGGTTCCCTTGCTTGAAAGCCAGTCGAATCCGACTTTAGGGATGCGGTGCTCATCTCCGTTTCAAAGCCGAAGAGCCAGCGCTGTCCGAAGACGTTTCCGTGGTCATGTCGCCGGCATGACTAAACACCAAGGCGCACGGAACACTGTTCCCTTCCCACCGAAGTGGTACTTATTTATCTACTTGCAATTTCTTGCTTTCGAACTGCTAGGTTGGCAGGAGCTGGAACTAGAGATGGGAGCTCACTCCATCATGCGGCACCCGGGTCTCGAACTGCTGAACTACTGACCTTCCACAGCCTGCAGTTCAGCGTCTTAACCACTTGAGCCACCGCAGCTCCGTATATAGCCATAGGCCATTACAAATTGAGAAGCCACATAATAAAGTGATAAAACCGTAAAACTAGAATGTAAACATTTTCTGATTAAAACAGCTTAAAACTTAACAGACTCAGCAATACCCTCAGACTTTAACTTTTTTGTTGCAAATGCAAACAGAGACACTCTGTAGGATACATAGGCATCATTATCGGATAGCAGGAATTACAGTCTTCTGGTCTACCAGAATGGTTTATGGCAGATAAAAATTCCTGCCAATAAGTTTAACCCTGGGGTTAGTATATAATGGGCAAAATAAGATATAATCGGGTAAGTCCTCTGGTGTAAGCGATCCACAGACACCTTGTTCCAGTGGTATTTGAAGATAGCTGCCAATCAGAACAGCTGTTGGCATAGTTTAGAAGCAAAGTGATATAAAGGTCACCCTAAAAATGCGGTTAAGACGCTGCACTGCAGGCTGTGGAAGGTCAGTAGTTCAGCAGTTCGAGACCCGGGGGCCGCATGATGGCGTGAGCTCTCATCTCTAGTTCCAGATCCTGCCAGCCTAGCAGTTCGAAAGCAAGAAATTGCAAGGAGATAAATAGGTACCACTTTGGTGGGAAGGTCACAGCGTTCCGTGCGCCTTGGTATTTAGTCATGCCGGCCACATGACCACGGAAACGTCTTTGGACAGCGCTGGCTCTTCGGCTTTGAAACGGAGAAGAGCACCGCAACCCTAGAGTCGGACTCGACTGGCTTTTGAGCAAGGGAACCTTTACCTTTACCTAGAGTAAGAATGCGGATCCAGATGTCAGCTATGTTGGTCTGAAGCAGTAGACCAAATTTAGAGTCCAGTGGGGCACCTTTAAGACCAACAGAGGTTTATTCAGGGTATGAGGTTTCGTGTGCTAGGCACACTTTTTCAAATACATTGGAATGGTTGATGAAATCAAATGTATTTGAAAAAGTGTGCCTTGCACACGAAGGCTCATACCTTGAATAAACCTTTGTTGGTCTTAAAGGTGCCACTGGACTCTAAATGTACCCTAAGAATGTGGTTAGAGATGTTGGTCAAATAAGCTGATCCAAAATGATCTAGGTTAAATAAATTAAACCACGGTGCTGCTCTAGATTTTAGAATTAAAGAATGATCAATCAGGGCATCAGATCTAAATATCCAGTCCTTGAGCTGAGAATTGTCTACTGAAGGTCCTAACAGATCGACTGAGATGGAGCTCTAGTGTGAGAGAACTCACAATAAGAAGGAAAAAACGGCCGAGAGAGCTTCTTCCTCATGGCTTTTAGCATCTCCTCCTTTGCCCACCAGTTGGGGATCGTCTTTCTTTCCCTTTGGCCTCTCAGGTTCCGTGGCTTAGTTGTGACTTTCCTATCTTTGGTCTTCCCTGGCTAGGCCATCTGCACATGAATGAATGAAGCTGGCAGTCTCTGGTATGGAGAGATGAGTCAGACCCACCCCCCTTTTCCCTTGTGTACCTGTTAGCCTGTAAAAGGTACTTAGCACTCTCTGACCATGTACAGAGGGCAGACCTAATTATTAGAGCTTTGACCTAAATTTGGGGGAGGGGGGGATAAAGCAGTTTCACCACGGGTTGTGTTTATTCAAAATGCTGCAGTCCTTCGTGGCTTCTACAAAATGTGTCCTCGGTGGGCTGTGGAAAGTCACGGGGGCGTACAGCAACAAACTCCTCTTAACTTTGCTGCTCCTCTTTGCAGGTGTAAATATTGGAGGGGCAGGATCATACATCTATGATAAACCTCAGAATGAAGGACCACTGGTGTCGGGTCCCATTGAGCACGTCTCCAAGGCAGAAGAAAAGAAGGTGAATTCTGCCCCCAAGCCGCCCAGCAGAGGTGAGCGCTGTGCCAGAGAACGTCTGAAAGCCAATAAAGCAACTGAGCCATGACACTTGGAGGCGGAGGTAGCAGAGAGACTTTAGGAGGGTGGCAGGTAGCTTCGTATGGTATCCACACCTCTTTCTTCTTCTTCTTCTTCTTCTTCTTCTTCTTCTTCTTCTTCTTCTTCTTCTTCTTCTTCTTCTTCTTCTTCTTCTTCTTCTTCTTCTCCTTCTTCTCCTTCTTCTTCTTCTCCTCCTCCTCCTCCTCCTCCTCCTCTTCTCCTCCTCCT